TTCATTTAACAACTGGAACCATAAAACATCAGGATAGTCTGGCTATCAGCTCCTTAGTAGTTGATCATTGTGCAAGAATATCTGCTTGATTATTTCTTCCTTTACAGTGCCTCCAGCAGCTAGCAGCAACAAGTAATCTTATTTCCCTCACATGGTAATCTTATTTCCCTCACGATTTTGTATAAAGAGCTTCCAGTCCTTGTCATCTCCCTGAATCCAACAAAGTGCTACCTATGAATCAGTGCAGCATAAAGTAGCTGAGACTCAAACCTTAGACTCTAACATAGAAGAGACTGTCTTAATGAGTCATGCGAGTAACAAAGCTCCAAGCAACTCCAAATGTGGCACTGTCTGTTCATTCACAGGTGCCACTCCAGATTTAGATGCAACGAAAACAGACATCGCCTCCTCTCCTGACCAACGCTGTAAGTAGACAACATCGGAATAGGCTCGAGTTGATGCATCACTGAATCCATGTTAACTCGACTTCACATTTTCACCAACACTCATATGCTTCTGTTACTGTCTAGGGACACTAATAGGCTCACTCTTCCTGAAAGTTCTTAATAGGCTTAACTAATGCTTTAATAAATCACCCTTAATGATATCATCCCAAGCCTTTAGCACAATGCAATATCTTAAATAATAATTTTGCTTGTATGGATAGGGAGATGCTATTTCAATTGGATCAAACATCTTGCCAGCTATACTGACAATCATACATTTAGTTACATAAGACTCATCAATCCCATTTACAATTTCCCTCAAATCAATTATCAAATAATCATTATCAACATCCCTGGAACACCCAACACTTTGTACTCTTTGTTAGAATTCAAAATTTCCCTATTACATGTTAACTTTCTCAGATTAAATTCCTCACCAACTAACTGCTCTAAACCTCTCATACTTTGACTCAGCCTCAGCTCTACTGCTTGCACCACTCATCCACGTACATAGATCTCAACAACATAGTTACTGTTAAAGGCTTAGATAACTTATACTGCTGAATGTGATGCTTAACAGGAGCATTAAAAGAAAAGGGCTAGAAGTAACCCCAAAAGCAACCCATTCGAACCTCAATACTGTGGTTGAATACTGACATTTTTTACCCCAATAAATCTCAAAGCATCTCTATTTTTCTTAGCTACAGCAATTAATGGAGAAGCCTTATCTAAATCTGCAATACGGGCATGCCTTTTCACTCTAAAGTGTAAAAAATGTCAAAAATGATTGGGTTAAATTTGAGACCAGCATGTAAACTATCAGTGAAAAACCTCTTGTTTCTGCTGAGGCATCATACACTACTCTAAGCTTAGTGGTTTGCTTGTTGTGCCTAATAACTGCTTGATGGGTACCCCCTCTGTATCCACTGCTGTGGCATCATCTAAAACTTTTACTAAACCCTTCTCTGCTTGTTCCCTCGAAGCAACTTAGGCTGTGGCCTTAACCTCCATAACAATGCATTCAACCGTCTTAGACTCAACTGGTAATTATCTAGTAACACCAGAGCAGCATCTCTCCAAGGAAGAGCAACCTCATACCTTTCTCCATTGAAAGACACAATGGACTTAAACTAATTGTACAAAGAATAATCATCTTCCTTCTCTGAAACACCAAATGGCATCCAGCTCCCAGAACCTCTTAAGCTGCTGGTTCAATGCTCCTTTATCTCTGAGATCAGATCTTCCAGCAGTCAAAACATGAGTAACCAGTAATGTAGATTCCTGTATGGCTGGGCCAGATAACAACCATCCCAAACAAAAGTGAACAGCAGTTGGCCCACAAGCTTCTGAAATAACCTCTTCACTTATAAAATCCCAAAAACGATATAAACCAACTAGTAGTCTAGTATTTCTATTCCTATACACTTCCATCGTCAATTGTATTAGCTAAATCTAGCTAGCCCTTGTAAATGCTGAACACTTCTTTCCAGGGATGTGCCTGACAGTGGTTTACAAATAGCATGAACAGTGTCACTACACTCTTTAGTCTCAATCCCAACTCTCGCTACGTCACAAGTCTGACCCTTGCTCCCAGTACTGCCAAATGATGTAATTTGCTATCTACACACTTCAATTGCAATTTCCTACTGGCATTGTAAGTAATGTAAGAGCACTGGCTCCCACTATCACTGGCTTTCCTTAAGCTTATTTAAAAAACTGATATCCTTCCTTTAAATTATAACAAGGAGCAGTGGCAGTCTGAAGCAAGATAGAGCCACTATTATCAGTGAAAAGTACTGCTGTCTTAAAAGGCTCAGCCTTAGGATTGAATGATTTTGTAGTGTTGCCAGCGGAAGGCACCAGAGCTAGAGTCCTTGAATCCAGCATAATACTCCTTTCTGTAACATATTTTAACATGATGTCTATCTCCACAATGACTACACCTGCTGTTTTTTCAGCACTCAGCTAATATGGCCTCTTAAGACTCAAGCAAATAAAACATTTATTTGATTGTCTCAAAAATGCTTTTGAGCTTCCACACTCACTGTCTATTGACATGCATCTGAAAGATGAGATTGATTACAGTAACTTTAAGTCTGACCAGTGAAAAGACTGGCTGCTAATGCAGGATTCCAATGCTGTCTTTGATCCTCATCTTGATACTTAAACTCTGAAGCAGCTCTCCGTCTAGGCTTAGCTCTTCATTCAATTCCTTCATAATCTTATCTAATTTCTACTGACTGGCAATTTCCTACTCGCAACTCCTAGGTAAACATATCAGTACAACTGAAGCTAACAATAAAATATATATGAAACTAAGAAAAGAACAAATAGTGAGAAGCAGTACATTAAACGTCAATTTAAAACAACCACAAATAATGAGAACTCAATCAGAATTCAGCTACTCTTGTATGAACTATACTATGAAACTGAGAAAAAAAATAGTTAAAAGAAACAATTAGTGATAAGTCAGTATCACAAGAAGCATCTTTCCCAAACCAACCTCAAATGATAAAAACTCATTTTGATCAGTCACTTCTGGTATAAATTATACCACAAAACTTAAAGAAATAGAAAAATAATAGTGACAAGTATAACATAAACATATTTCAAAAACCAACATCAAATGATAAGAACTCAGTCTGATCAATATTTTAAAATGTTTCATGAAACTGAGAAAAGGCTGACAAGTGAGTAGTACATGAAACGTTTAAAAACCAATGTAAAACAATAAGAACTCAGTCTAATCCGTCACTCCTGGTATAAGCTATACCATCAAACTTAAAGAATTGTATCATGGGAAGCCATAAGATGAAAGGCACCGCGTTGGGTTTATATCTGGTAGACGATCACTTCCGGTGCAATATACATATTTACCAGGATGTGACATAGCTATGATTAAAGGCACCGACAGTGCAATATATATATATTTCACCGGAAGTAATGCTTGGCTTGTTCAGTTGTGATAACAATGATAACAAAAGGTCATTTGTAAAACAGCAAAATATGTTATTAATAAAAGATTTTGTAACTAAACTGATATAATAGTAGTCTTTATTTCTGCAAAGATTGATTGAATTGCATGCCCAGAATGATTTCAGTCTTTGCGACGACCTTTTATCAACAAGTGTAGCTCCTACTAGTCAATTTGAGATTAATTCTGTACCTCTAGAAACATCTAAAGAGTATTCTTTACTGCTAGTAACATTTTTACCACCACACCACCGTTGAGTAAGTACCTTCATATCTCTATTAGTGTCCAAGGGTTCAAAACCTGTACTAATTTCTTCCATTTTATCAGCACTAATGATGGCTAACCTTCATTGAGTGCTTTACACATTTTCATTTGCTTTTGCTGCTTTTTCTTATGGTTCTCCTCCTTCAGCCATATTGGTCCCTTACCGTTGTACCACGTGCTACTGAGCATGCGCATAACCTTTTCTTCTTGTGGCTTCCCATTTACAAGCCATATAGAACATGACCTTACATAGAAAAATATTAGTGAAAAGTATAACATAAACAACATATTTCAAAACCTACATCTAATGATAAGAGCTCAGTATGATCAAAATTTTAAAATGTACCATGAAACTTAGGAAAATAGCAATAAGTGAGAAGTTAGTACTACATACATTATAAATCTAATCTTAAACAATAAGAATTTAGTTTAAGTTTGTATCATTCTAGGTTTGTTTTATAATAATGTTTTATGTACTCTTCTATTTTTCTATTTCTTCAATTTTATGGTATAGTATATACTAGAAGTGACGGATCAGACTTGAGATCTTAGTATTTGGGTTTGGTTTTAAGATGATGTTTCATGTCCCTGTCTCACCATTAATTTATTTCTGAGTTTAGTAGTATAGTTTAAAATGCGTCCAGTGACTAATCATACTGAGTTATATAATGATGTTTTATGTTCTGCTTACTTTTTACTAGTTGTCTTTTTTCTCAGTTTTATAGTATAGTTGATACCTGAGGACTGATCAGACTGAGTTTAATGATTTGGGAGTTGTTTTTTACACTATTTGTTTCTTCTTTTCTCAGTTTTGTAGTGTATTTTAAAATACCAGAAGTGACTAATCAGACTGAGTTCTTATCAATTGAGGTTGGTGTTAGAAATGATGTTTTTTACGTTCTAATAACTTCTATTTAGTTCTTCCTTTCTTAGTTTCATAGTAGAGCTTACACCATGAATGATTGATCTGACTAAGTTTTCTTCATTTTTTGTTGTTTCGAAATGGTGTTTTGTGTACTTCTCTTTTTTGCTTCTCGTCGAATCACTTTCTATGGTACATGTTGTTTTAGGAGTGACTAATCTGATTGAGTTTTTCATTTGACGTTAAATAATGTTTCAAGTTCTAATCACTTCTCATTTGTTTCTTCATTTCTCAGTTTCATATTGTATATACCAGGATTGACTGAACAGACTGAGTTTCTATCATTTAAGGTTGGTTTTAAGATGATGTTTCATGTTTTTTGTCTCAGTTTTATAGTATAGTTTACAACAATGGAAATGACTAATCAGACTGAGTTCTAATCATTTGAGCTTAGTTTTTGAAATTATATTTCATGTTATAACAACTTTTCACTATTGTTTCTTCTTTTCTCAGTTTTATAGTACAGTAATGAGTGACTGATGAGACTCTCAGTTTTATAGTATAGTTTAAAATACCACCAGTGACTGATCAGATTGAGTTTTATCATTTAAAACTGGTTTTTCGTAATGACATTTTATGTTTTGCTTACTTGTCACCATTTGTACTTTCTATTCTCAGTTTTATGCCAGGAGTGACAAATCAGTCTGATTTTTTATCATTTAAGATTTGGTTAGCAACAATGTTTTATGTACTTACTACTCTTCTCACTATTTTTTTCGTTTTTCAGTTTCACAGTAAAGTTTAAAATGCCAGAACAAAGTTCTTACTATTTGAGGTTGGGTATTTGAAATGTTTTATTTTCTAAAAAGTTTTCACTTGTTCTTTCTTGTCTCAGGTTTATAGTAAAGTTTATACCACAAATGACTAATCATACGAATTTTATTATTTAAGGTTTTTTTTGAAATGTTTTATTTCTGCTTATTTTCCCCATTTGTTCCCTTTTCTCAGTTTATTAGTATTGTTTATACCAGGAGTGATAAATCAGTATGACTTCTGATTATTTGAGATTGTGTTAGCAATGATGTTTTATGGTACTACTCCTCACTATTTCTTTCTTTTTCAGTTTTATAGTATGGTATAGAATACCATAAGTAACGAATGGCTAATCTGAGTTTATATTATTTGAGGTTTTTTGAAATTATTTTACATTATGTGTTCCACTCACTTCACATTTGTCTTTTCTTTTCCCAGTTTTATTGTATAGTGTGTACCTAAAACAACTAATCAGACTAAGTTTTTATCATTTGCGGTTCATTTTAAAATGTTTCATGTACTTTTGACTTCTCATTTTTTTAGTATTATGGTACGGTTTATACCTGGAGGGACTGATCAAACTGAGTTCTTATCTTTTGATGTTGAAACGTTTTTGAAATAATGTTTTATGTTCTACTCCTCTTTTGTTTTCTCTTTTGTCACTTTCATAGATATATATATAGTTTAAACTACCACCAGTGACTGATCAGACTGAGTTCTTATCATTTGAGGTTGGTGTTAGAAATGTTTCATGTTCTACTCATTTTTCCTTTCTCAGTTTCATGGTATAAGAGTTTAGGCTGTGTCTAATGCTCCGGTAACCATTAAATATCTGAGTCTATTTTTTGTCCGTGAAGCAGCTTGTGCGCATGTGCAATAGAGCAAATTGGAACACTAAACCCGAATCCCAAAAACCCTACAATTCCGGAGGCTAAGATGTACAAGAGGGTGCCTAAAAACTAAACACCAAATCCCAATCTCAACCCTACAACCTCTGAGTCTAAAATGTACGAGAGGGTGTTCATTTTCTGACCGAAAAAGCCAAAAAGGTAAAGAAGGAAATAAATGTTTTTAAAAAATCAAAACCACAGCATAGTTTTTTATAGCTGTCCTGACCAGATTCGAGCCACTGCTCTCATTGATGCAATCCACATGGGCCCTCCACTGCACCACCAGGACCCTGCTCTACCACTACCGCTGGTTGTCATTTATACTCAATTTTTATAATAAATTAGGGTATTATTGATACTGAGCCCCTGTATATATTAGGAGTGAAGCCCCTATTATTGGAACTCTAGCATCGCAGACATAGAATGGTTACCGGATTGTTAGACACTTGCTATACTATATACCAGGAGTGAATGATCAGACCGAGTTCCTATCATTTGAAAGTTGTTAGAAAATGTTTATATGCTACTCACATCTTACTATTAGTTTCTTGTTGTCTCAGTTTTATACTGTTGTTTACAAAACCACCAGTGACCGATGAGACTATGTTTTATGATTTGATGTTTTTTTGAAATTGTTTCATGTCTCACTATTTGTTTCCGTTTTCTCAGTGCATAGTATTGTTTGAAATGCCAGAAGTGAATCATCAGTTTTGAGTTCTCATCATATATTTAGCACCAAAGGGTTTATAATAACTTTTTATTATTCGTTTCTTTTCTGAGTTTTATGTTTATGGCATAGTTTATACTAGGAGCGACGGATCTCACTGAGTTTTCATCATTTGAAATTGGGTTAAAATGATGTTTAATATACTACTGACTTTTTGTTTTCTTTCCCAGTTTTGTGGTATATTTTAAAGTATTAGAAGGGACTCATCAGTTTTAGCCTTCTAGGTTGGTTTTTAAAATGAAGTTTCATAACGGCTCACTATTTGTTTCTCAGTTTCATGCCAGGAGTGAATGATCCGAATCTCAGCTTTGTTGTGTAGTGTAAAATACCACCAATGACTGATAAGACTGAGTTTTATTGTTTCAGGTAGGTTTCTAAATGATGTTTTAGTTTTACTTACATCTCACTATTTTTTTCTTTTTTCAGTTTTATGGTGTATTATATACCAAAAGTGACTTATTAGACTGATTTCTAATCATTTAAGGTTGGTTTTATAAATGATGATTTAGTTTTACTTTTCACTATTTCTTTTCTGTTTATGGTATAGTTTATACCACCAGTGACTGATCAGACCGAGTTTTGTCGTTTGAGGTTGGTTTTTAAAAAAGTGACCATAATTGAGAAAGGTACCTTATGGCGGATTTTAAAATTCCTCATAATGAAAAGTAACTTGTGAGTGCTTTGTTGAACAATCATTGTTTCTAAAAGTTACATAATTTCTTGCATCCTGTGGAGTATTTTTATGATAATTAAAGCGCAGGAAGTTGGATTTTTTAGGCTATAAAGACACATTATAAAGTACCTTTTGTCAATTATTGTCACAAATGATGTTTTAGTTTTACTTCTCTCTATTTGTTTTTTCATTTCTGAGTTTTGTAGAGGTATATTCTATATTACCAGAAAAGACTGATTTTTTATCATTTGAGTGAAATGTTCACATTCTAGAAACTTATTACTAAATGTTTCTTCTTTTCTCAGTTTAATAGCAGAAACAAAATGATGTTTCATGTACTTTTCACTTCTCAATATTTGCTTATCCTTTCACTGCTCAATATTTGCTTATCCTTTACTCAGTTTCATTGAACTGTTTATAAAACCAGGAGTGACTGATCAGACTGAGCTCCTATCATTGAGATTAGTTAACTGTTTTTAAAAATGTTTCATGTTGCATTCCTTATTTGATTCTTCTTATCTCATTTTAATATTGTTGTATACTAGATATACTAGGAGTGACTGATCAGATTGAGTTTTTCTTTTAATGTTGGTGTTAAGATGTTTTTTGTACTTTTCTTGCAGTATTTTTTTTGTCTTGCCTCAGTTTTATCGTACAGTTTATAGTGGGAACATCATGATAAGTCAGACTGAATTTTATCATTTGAAATTCTTTTTAAAATCATGTTTCATGTACTACTCACTTGTCACTATTTGTTTCTTTTTCAGTTTTA